CACTGGCGAGTGAAAGAGTCCAAGACACAAGGACATGCCCACTGCAAGATTTCATTTCCCTGCATGTGAACACCATGGGGGTGACCTTACCGCTTTTGAGTCAACTTCTTCGACCACATTTGCGATGCTGGGGCAGCAGTTGTGCACCTGAGAGGCTGTGGCTTGCATGGGGCAATGCATGGCGGTGTTGTTGCTCCTTGTCAACTCCAAACCATGCACCTTCTGCCTGAAAAGCTCAGGTTAGCCAAAGAAAACTTTGTTACGGGATGTCTGAGTGGCTGTGTCTTCTCCGAGCAGAAGAAAGACCTTAGAAACAAGGTAAAAATGACCCTGCAATGCTCTCACATATCTCTGTCTCTGTTTCAGACCCCGAGGAGGAGACATCCAGTGGTATCTGGCAGAGAAAGTCCTGATTTTTGTGTGGGTCCTGGTGGTGTCTTTGTGTTGCCACAGTACGTTCGCTTCTCATTGGCTGAGGAACTCAGACAATGTTTTCCATAAGGTTTCCCCTGACTCATCATTTTCTTCTGGGTGCAATTTCAAAATGGAAACTCCCAGAATTTCCTGCACATGGATTGTACAGGAAATGTGTCCCTGAGTCAGTGCTAGATTCATACAGGTCCTATGTTTGTAATATAGCTGTGCCTTTGGTGGGACTTGAGGGCCCCAAGTACCCCTAAGTGCTTGCTTCCCGAGTCCCTGGGGGATGGGAGGAGAGATTTGTGTGGAGTGGGGTTTCTCAGAGTTCTGACCTGAGCTGGGGCTGCTCAGCAGTGGCATTAATGACCAAGGAGGGGGGGGGGTATGCATTACAGATGCCCTGACGTGAGCCTGAGTGGGTCTGCAAGAGAGCTGCAGGGAAGGGTTAGAGTTCAGACCAGTCTTGGCCATTTGGGTAAAGAGAGAGTAGTCTATTCTCTGTGTCCATGAACAAGAAGAGAAGATGAGAGATGATCTTCTGCGAGGGAGACAACTTTTTCAGAGTTAGAATTGGGAAGCCCTGGAGCACTGATGAGACCTGTTGTGTGCTGCCAG